GAAAGAAAGAAAGAAAGAAAGAAAGAAAGAAAGAAAGAAAGAAAGAAAGAAAGAAAGTTGGGGTGGGGAGATAGCACTCAGAATCCTTAAATTCAATTCATGACTTGGAGAGACAGTCCAATAGAAAGATGAAACAAAAAGTAACTTCCGACTATCTCCAATACAGATATAAGCACAATTTTTTAAAAAGTTAATCTCTTACCACTAGTTCTATCTTCTCTCTTTTCTATATCTTCTGATTTGTATTTTAATTGTACTTTTTATATATCTTAATAAAAGTTTTGACCAGAGAGATAGTCCAGAGAAATTGAATTTTTTCTGGTCCCTACTGTTTTGACCAGAGAGATAGTCCAGAGAAATTGAATTTTTTCTGGTCCCTACTCATATCTTCTGATTTGTATTTTAATTGTACTTTTTATATATCTTAATAAAAGTTTTGACCAGAGAGATAGTCCAGAGAAATTGAATTTTTTCTGGTCCCTACTGTCCTTTCTTGGAAGATGAAAAATTGTCTATCTTGGGTACGAGATAGCTGAAGAAATATGAATTTCTTGTAGACCAGCTAGAAAGTCACATTGTTAGCCTACACCAATCTAATATGTACAAAATTATACTCTGAAGCTTTAGTCATACAGGTATTTATTAGCTCAACATGTTTCAGTAAATCGTAGTGAAGTTGGACTGACTCCTTTCACAAAGTACTCTGTGTTGCAGAAGAGGGAAAAAAATCCAAAAAGCAGCTGTTGTCACTATACAACAATTTATACTTTACTGTATAAAATGGTTTCCAAGAATAGGTATCAGCATGAACACATTCAGAAGAAAGATGACACTCCTTTAAGAGTTGGATTAACTTTAATGAGCCAATTTCTTAAAGTAGTGGCATTTTTCCTCAGACTCATGAAAAATCTGAAGATAGTACTTTAATGGACAGCAGAAAGGCTTTGCATCCTCATGAGGTCCAATTCCTAATATCCAAAATGGTGGCCAGAACCCCCCAATCAAACCCTGTACATTTTTGTATGAGTCACACTCACAATACAGATAAAAATGGCGCAGGGTTTTGATGGTGTGGTCTCAGCCACCATCTTGGATAGTAGGATTGGGCATACTGCTAACATCTATGCAATTTTCATACTCCTATTTTATTTTGCTTGCTCACTTTCATTTCAGTAACATTCATCCTTCCATCCATACTCTTGTTTCTGCTGTTTCTTTCCTGCCTCCACCTAATCTTTAAGTCCCACATCCAGTGAAAATCCTAAATATTTTTCAGGTATTTACATTACAAGAGGAGGAGGGGAAGAAGAGCTACTGTATGTGGGGAGAAGAGATGTAAAAGAAATCTGCAACTTCCATATGTCATGATCCGTCACTGCAGTGGGAGGACGCAGAGGGCAAAAATGAATGGAATATATCGATTTTCAGCCAGAAGAGTTTGTAGCAGTTCATGAACATTTGGGAAGTCTGAGTAAAACATAAATCAGAAGGAATTTGGAAAGACTGCATTGAAAACAAGTATGCTGGGATTACATTGTGCTTAAATAAATGTAGAATAAGGAATTGGGTGTGTGTCTCTGTGCCTCTTGTGTGTTTTTTCTGTTCTGTGATGCTTCATGTTTGAACTGGACTTGAGAAACAGTATCTTTGAAAGATCTTGAAGCTTACAATGAAATGGGAAATGATGCTTTTTCAGATACCACGGTCCTAAGCTATTGAAGGCTTTACATGCCTCTGCGTTTGAGACTGTTCACATAGCAAGTTTCCCCAGGCCAACTAAGAAGCTCTGTTTCTACAGGACATTCAGCCTGGTTAGTATTAACCCAAGCAGAGGTTTTCTGTTTGAATATGTTGCATGAACCCTGCCTATTTAGTTTTTCTATAATTAAACGTACCGCGCAAATCCAGGATATGGATTAATTGAGGAATCAGGTTAAATGATTTGTGTGAGCACGGCCCTTGTGAACAATTTCAGATTCACTTGCCCCCTTCAAAAATTATACTGCCATGGAGCATCCTGCAATTCAGAGTAAAATTTCAAAATGGTATGGACTGGTATGCAAGATGCATGAAAGAGCAGTTTAGTACTTCAATTTCCTTGAAAAACCACTTCTCTCTGACTTTTGATATTGCTCCCTCATCCTACAAAAGCGTTCACTGTCTCTTTGCAGGAAATGTTCTTTTAGAATGGCATGAAATCTACGGGAAGGCTATTTATTCAACAGGGTAGGGAATTTATCTGAGAAAGCATCACCAAAAATAAAAGACTTTGTCAATTTCCACCTGGGGCATGATACCAGCGTATTATTTCCAAAATACTTGCTTGTTCTGGTGATAGAACATGATTCATCATTTATGCAGCATAGAGAAAGGAAAGTGAGTAATAGTCTGAGGTAGGCCCATAATATCTTCTGCCCCTTTCAAATCAGGAGGAGGGGAGAAATAAAGATATTTAAAGTACTGTTGCTAGAGAAATGTTTCCTTGAAAATAAACTTGATTGAATTTCCATAAAGATTCAGTTTTCATCTATGCTCAGGATCGGCCTTCAGCCAAGAAACACGTTCTTGGGTTGTGTTTGGAAGCATTAATATCTGCTTGGATTGTACATTTTCTATTTAACACACATTCACAACTGTCATATGATTACACAT